AGTAGCATAAATTCTGCGTGAAAAATACTCCAGTGCAGTTTGTCCATGGGGGTGATTTGACCACATTCATTTACTTGTCTTTAGGGAAATTACTAATTAGAGAGCATTCGGAAGTCATCAGTCCTTTAGCCCTTCATTATGAGCGCTTCAGGTCGAGCTTTTCTCTGCCACGGGAAGACTTGAGACGAGTTAGGAGAGGTCTAAGCAGGTACGTTACCATGCCACCTCAGTTGTAAGATGAATTGTTTGCGAGCCATTAGAAAACGTGGATAGAAGTAAGGCAAACGTAGCGAGAAAATATTTCGAGACTGAAGCTTTATTCATGGAAGGGCTCTGTTTGGTTAGAAGCGCAAAATATATGAATGTCTTGCGTTTATGAGACGCGTGCATTAAACTCAACATATGTTTGAATCGTTTATTAGATTGATATCATATTTTTCCCTGGAACGTATACGTCTCAAGTTGGCCATGCAACGGGTACGTATTAGGGTCAGTTGGATTATAATTGTATACTTTATGTAATGTTTAGTCAAAGTTCTAAATCAGATCTTTTTGGGAAATGCATTCTCATGTATCTACTCATCGCGTTGTCTCTCTTCAAGATAGTTGCTGTTCAGATGAATGTATTCTTGAATTCACGAAGATGTCGTTCAGATTATCATTTGTAGTTAGCTTCAAAAGAGATATGTTAAAGCTTTATCAATGGGGTCATTGTGTTGTTTCAATCATGGGGCTAATTAAGATTATTTTCCAAGTAGTAAACTATTAGTAGGTTTTATTATGTTTACTGTGAATGATATTTCACATCTGTTAACATATGTTAGTTGGATGCTACGCGCAAAGTGTCTGGAATTGTGTTTAATGTGGCTTAGACAGAATCCGTGCCATCAGGGTCGCAACGGTGTTTCTATTTGCGGCACCTCTATCCACTTGGAATTATTAATACACACAGTGTACTAGTTAGTGAACTGTAGTACAAGGCGATACTCCTCAGTTGTCTATTTGAATGGAGTTTTGTCAAGGTTTTGATTTTTAGTTAACTGAAGGTAGAGAACTGTTCCATTGACTTCAAGTTAAGGAAGTTCAATAATGAATTGTAGGCATCCTGTTGTGAAGTCAGGATGACTCTTAAAACGCAATGTTTTTCCTAAGCTGATACACCGGAGAGCATTCAAAAGTCATCAGTCCTGTAACCCTTTATTATGAGTGCGGCAGGTCAAGCGATTCTCTGCTGCGGGAAGACTTGAGACGAGTTAGGAGAGGTCTGAGGGGGGCACGTTACAGTGCCACCCCAGTCGTGAGAGGAGATGCTTGCGAGGCACTAGCTAACTCGTATAGAAGTAAGGCAAACGTGGCCAGAAAATATTTCGAGAAGCTTTTTTCAAGGAAGGGCTACATTGTTTAGAAGGGTAAAATATATGTACGGTCTTGCGTTTATGAGGCGCGTGCATCAGATTCACCATTCTCGAATTGTTTATTAAAGTTACAGTCAGAGAATTAATTGGGGAGGTAGGATCTTTGAAAAGTGAAAGGTTGTTGATCAAAGTCATCTTTTTAATAATACCTTTACGAAATGAAAACCTATATTTTGATATGATGGTCACCGTTGCAAAAACCAATCTACGTTCATTTTTCACTTTTCAGGCATAATACGTATCAGGTTTGTCGCTTGAAGGGCTAGGTGCCGCTTACTCATGGGACTCCCTCGGTGCATCGGCGCTACTCCAATAGTTCTCCACCAGTGCCCTAACTAATTTTTTCCACTGATTTTTTAGTTGATTCGCGCGACGGACTTTGCCGACAGACTTTCCATTTGGTTTTGTGTTGATTCCACGAGCAGCTTTTACCATATAACTTGTGTTTTCTTTAGCTGATTTGATAAAAGAGGTTGAGTTTTATATATTACTTTCTCATTTAGCCACATTTTAGGCGCCTTCCGCTACCTTTTCCAACTGAATCATTATGGGTATGTATTAAGCTCAGTTGTATTATAATTGTATTTTTTATGCAAAGTTTAGTCAAAGTTTTTAATCAGACCTTTTAAAGCCGATTATAGTTCTGTGGCAGGGCTTATAAACNGATTACATGTAACATACAATTTAAAGTTCTTGCAAATGCCAGGTAGATGTTTTTTTTATTTTGATGATCTTTTGTTCAATTGGTGTTTTGACAGAGTGATTAAAGGTGAGTTGAAGATAAGGATGATCAAATTGAGACCTTTTACTTCACATGCAGGAAGGAAAAAAAAATTACCAATATACCTTACTAGCAAAAACAAACAGTGATCAGCAGCACTCACCAGCAGCCCAAGTAGAAACATACAGATTTCTTGTCATTTTCTTGCCAGATTTCTTGTTTAATTCAGTTTATTTCTCTTTGTCAATGTTTTGGAGGTTGAATGGACTAAAAACAATAGGGAAAATTATCTCAAAACAGCTTTTGAATGAAGCTTATAATAATAGAAACCTGTAGTAAATTTAACCCTGTGTTAGCGCTTATTGGGCTTCGAACAACTGGGCCAAGGATAGTTACAATATATTTACATACTCTGCTCTGAATTTGCACTTTACAGGTCTCATCATCAGATAACTGGGACTCAGGGTTTGAAACCTGTGGTATTTCACAAGGTAGTCGTGAATTGCAGTTTTTTAGATTTTGTGATTGTGTATTAGTTTTCAAATTGTTAGAATTGTGATGCCAGGGCACTTCAATTTTGCTGGACAAACAGTCCCAATTTAAAATTCATTATAATTAATAAGTAGCTATAATTGGCACCTGATTCTTAAATGAGATTATTATTTTTAGATTATTTCAGAAAACTACTTACAATACTCAAGAAAAGTGTACACTGTGGAACCTTTTAATGTTACACATGACCAGTCACCTGAAAATATTCATGCATTAATTTACAAGGAAGCATTTTTATCTAGGAAATAATTGATTACAATAAAACTCTTTCTGGACAGTTTTCATCACAACAGGAGGTTAAGGGAAAAATACTATTGCACATTAAGGGTGAAATTATGTGATTGTCAGTAAGAATGTTGTAGTTACTGTACAGTATAGTACGTACCATGAAATAGACAAATCACAAGCAAGAAAATCTGTTCACATGACAAAATCAATTGCACATGCAAAAACCTCATTTGGTTTACTCAAATCAATAATTCCTAGAAAACCTTCAATAATTTCTCCTATGACCTCAATTGTCTTGAAGCTGAAAAAAATTTGAGTTATGTGCGTTACATCACAGCCTCGTTCTTGAATAAAGTCGTTCTTGTTGTTTAAGCCATCTTAAACACATGCAAAGCTTGATGTGTTGGCTTCTTGTCCCTTTGACCATTTCTGCAGAAACTTGTCTTGGGCTATGACTTTCATAATTTTTAGAGAATCCCTGATTGAGATTCCAGAATCATTAGGATTGAGTGATGCAGGAGAAAAATTATTGCTGTAGGGCATGTACATCTACCTTTCTCAACCAGTAACTTCTCTTTTTCTTTTTCCTCTTTTGTTAAAGACAATTCAAGCAATCAAAGACGAGTTCCACTCCTCAATAATAATATAACCAACTCTCCTGCAGATGGTGCTTTTGATGAAGACAGTTCAAATTTGGGTATTCAGGTACTGTTACTAAAAATTTAAATTATTTGTAAAATTTATGGCATTTGGGTCACTTTGTCCATTTATACCTAGCAGAAACTTTACACCTCTGAAAATTTTTTTTAGTTTTCAATGTCAGTAATGAATTAAATGATCTAGTAAACTTGCAGTGTGCAATAAATGCAAAAACAAATACAATAGTGGTAGATAATTGAATTGCATCATTTTAGGCTGGATGAATAGATTTATTTGCCCCCAAATGGTATCCACTTGTTGGCTGAGTGGGGGGTTGGACAGGAAAACATTTGGCTAGAGGTCATGACATTATAATGGACCAAGCATAGATGTGTAATCGGCAAAGTTTTCTGTTGTTTAACTCCAATTTGTGTTCATTTCTTTAGCTATTGTTTTCTATGCAAGAGGATCTGGAAAAGACATACCAAAATTATGAATCCTCTGACAATTCAATTTTTGGTGTTCCATGTGAAGCTGTTCCTGGTAAGTATAACATGTAGTGACAGAAACTGTCATGTTAATTGTTTAGTTGCATTGCTTGTTTTGTGACAGCTACTTAAAGACTCACTAAAACTAAGTGAAACTGTTACAAAGTATATATTATGAAAGAGGGTAATTCAAAGTATTATCTTAACATTATTTGTACTATTGTTTACCTGCTTATACACTGTTTTAAATTTTGTCTTCTATGTTTTTTTCTTTTCTTAACAGTTTGAAAATTCTTTTAGAAACTGCACATATTTACATA